TGAAAAGAAAAGCTTTACAGTGTCCTTCAGTTCCTTTAAAGAAAGTTTTTCACAGAATTTTCTTCCTTCGAAGCTACCTTTCCCTTATGCTGCAATGAGTTCACTGGTAATGTTCATTTATCATAGAACAAGTGGGACAGCTGCAAGATTCGGGTCTTCACCTAAATGGTTATGGTATTATTCTTGCGGCCAACTATTTATTGTGGTGACTGAGAGATTGTTTTTACTTGTTAGATGGAGATGACAGTGACATTCTTAGCTTAACTTCCGGTATTCCGCAAGGCACTACAGGCTAACATGCACTCTTCCCATCTCTGATTACTGTTCCTGTCACCCTAAATATGAAAAGGCGCGAAAATGTGCGATTTGTAGTATGCACCGTCTAGGGTGTTCATCCGCTCTACCTGTGTGTACTATGTTTAGCATATGAATCTGGAAACACTAGTCTAATTATACCTTAACCCAGACCACAGAGTATGTTTCATTGTTCATCACACATGACATTAGTTTAATGAGAAAATATATATTGATTTTACAGTAACTGATAGCAACTCTTAAAGGGAATTTTCCTAGCACATCAAAAATGGTCTCAATTCCATTATCTGAAGCATACAGTAATGCTAGGTTAATGTAAGGACAGAAGATTATATTGGTAGGTAGGCTATCAATCACCTTTAACAAGAGGACTTTCACTGAGTTGATGCACATCAAACATACAGTACAGTATTTTGTATTTTTACTGAGAAGCAGAATTAAAAAAATAAGATTTACAATTATGGCTTGAGGAACACGCCAACTTAAGAGAGGAAAGGTACAAACTGAGGGAAAAATGGATTATAAGGATAAAGATTTGTAAGCTGAAAATGAAGAAAACTGAATGGATGGTAAAAACAGATGCAATTATGAACACATGAGATAAAACCTATCTCATAAAAAATCAGATACATCTTTTCCAAAGATAGAGATATTTAATATTAAAAGCTTACAGCTCCATCTTTGTATTCATTCAAATAAGGTACAAACTTTCGTCCACAGAAAAACCTGCACACAAATGTGGATAGCACCTTTATGCATAATTGTAAAAAGATAGGAGCAACCAGGATGTCTTTCCACAGGTGCAAAATGGACATAATGAAGTGTTATTCAACAGTAAGGACAAATGGGCTTTCATGAAATGTATAATATTAAATGCAAGCAGCCAACAGGAAAATTTGTTTCATTCTAACCATGACAGAAAATTTTATCAAAGGCAAAACTACTGCCGCACACACATGCACACCCACACCCACTGCACACACATGCACACCCACACCCACGCCTGCCACACACATGCACACACACACCCATGCCTGCCACACCCATGCACACACACACATGCATACCCACACCGGCTGCACACACATGCACACCCACCACACACACATGCACTTACACCCACGCCTGCCGCATACATGCACACCCACACCCATGCCTGCCGCACACATGCACACCCACACCCACGCCTGCCGCACACACATGCACACCCACACCCATGCCTGCCACACACATGCACACACACACGCATACCCACGCCGGCCACATACACGTGCACACCCACACACATGCACACCCACCACACACACATGCACACCCACTGCACACACATGCACACTCACATCCATGCCTGCTGCACACACATGTACACCCACACCCATGCTGGCCACACAGACATGCACACCCACACCCATGCTGGCTGCACATACGTGCACACCCACACCCACGCTGGCTGAACACACAAGCACACCCATACCTGCCGCACATACATGCACACCCACGCCCAAATCAGTGGTTTTCCAGAGACTCAAGCGGGGAGGGAGACAAGGATGAAAAACAAAAACTCTTAGGAAGTGAAACTGTTGTAGTACACCTGGGCTACTTTTCTCTTGCTCTTGGGACAAAATGCCAGACACCCAGTTAAAGGGAACAGGCTTATTTATTTAGCTCACAGCCTGGAGAGGTCTCAGTCCATAACGGCGGCCTCCAAGCTAGGGTGACTTGGCCATGGGGCATATCAGAGAAGAACAGTTTGTGGCATGCCCATGTGGCAAAGGCAACAAAGGGCCTTAACAACATCTTTCTGTCCCTTTCATCTCATCCAGACGACTCAGGGCAGGGGCACGCGCATCTGTAACGCTCACGCCCCGGAGCCCAGCGCTGTGCACACTAGGACTCAATCCTCGCATCACATACTTGAGATCCAGTCGCCTCCACAGAAGCTCCTCCTGTGAACCCATGAGGCTCTGGGGGACAGCCACATACAAGCTGCAACAGTGCAACATACTGTAATAGACGATACATGCTAGTTTATATTTCTCCAAATCCTCACCAGGTACAACACTAAGAACATATCAGTATGTTATTAATAACGTATCAATACTGGCCCATTGTTAGGTATAAAAGATACCAAGTTAAAGCCACAGGTTTGCAAGAAGGGAAACTGCCTGTGAAAGGACAAACTTTCCACACTTTGTATTACTATTTCTATATATCCAAAATTGCCATAAGCAAGCAATTCCAGAGGTACAGGACTGAGAAGGAAGTTGCTGCAGTTCCCGCACGCCAGACGCTCAGCGGAAGCCAGCACGAGCACGCATCGCCCGGCAGACGCGGACCACATTCTGGACACGTCACACAGAACAGCCTGCTACCTCCCGAGAATCCTTTCTTCTGGTGTTTTTAAGACAGGTCTCACTACAATACAGTTCCGTCTGGCCTCGAACTCACGGCGGTCCTCCTGCCTCAGTCTCCTGAGTGCTGCGTCACAGGCCTATGTCACCCTGAGCACCCTTACAGTTTAAATGTTCAGGGGGCAAATGTATCATTAGCGCCTACTGACATATGGAAGACGGTCGTTCATTCCATAGCAGACATGCCTAGTAACTGCACCTGTAATACTAAGTTAAAATCAAAGTCAGTTACACTTACTTTTAGTAAACATGACCCTTTTCATTGTGCAGATAGTCCAGCACCAAAAGTGCCTGCCTAGCAAGTACAAGGTCCTGAGCTTGCTCCCTGGTACAAAAATAAAAAAGACCTTTTCTAAAACAGCATTTGGAAAGGACACGTTCTTGAAGAAAAACGTAAAGAAAGTACCTCTCTACAAGCCTTTTTCTACCAGAGTTGTAAAATTCACAAAACCATCTTTAAATCAATTTATGTATAAATATAGGGATCAGACAAATAGTACCTAGATTAATACAGCCTACAGTTCAGGTCTGCTATTATATTCTAATTAGTTACACGAGATAGAGAACATCCCAATTTCCTCTCTAACAGGTTTCACGGTTTCCGCGACGACTCAAAGGCCTGGTGGAACGGTCACCCCCGGGTGTGCTCTGCAGACTGCTGGGCTCCACGCCCAGGCAGAGGCATCTGCGGTGGTGAAGGGGTGACACTGCAGCACTGTTCACTGACCGATTCAGACACGTTCGCGGGCACTGTAAAAGCTCACTGGGCCCTTACGGCTTCTGCGCCAAAATACTTGTCCTTATTGCAGTCACTCCTGCGAGGCACCCCCTGCAAAAGCAACACTGTCACTGCAGGGTGGCTGTGCTAAGCAATTTTAAACCCTAAGTAGGTAGACTTTTAGCACCCTCGGAATGGAATCCACACAGACTGCTTATGCTGCTGACCAAATGTCGGAGACTGCCGCGCGGCCAGGCACTGTGCCGCTGCGACATGGCCAAGTGTCACTCCTCCTGAAACACTCTTCTTCCTTCAAAGAACAACTGGTAAGTTAGGGTTCTTGCCATTGGGATGTGTTTCAGACATTTTGTTTTTAAAAAATATGAGTTATTATTTCAAGAATTCAGTGTTTCCTTCCAATCATTAAAAAAAAGTTTTTAAGTAGAAATTGGAATTTTGACCAACTCGTATGTGCTACTGTGTACCTGACAGGCTTCTGGGACTACAGAAATAGTCCAGTGACAAGGACAGCAATGTTAACAAATGTGAATTTTGAAAAAACATATAATGAAATGCATGAGTATTTGGAGAATCTGCATAACCCACTGAATGAATTTTCTCCAAATGACTAATGTACTAGGTTACAAAATCATGCATGTGTAAAATAACCACCCAAAATGCCTGATACCTCAGTGAACTGTAATATGAATGCTAGTTCATTTACACGGTTTTGGACTATGCATTATGGTTAGCTTTTAGGCAGATGTCACTTATCCCATTCCACTGTTTTATAACAAATTAGAGTATCTATAATTATTTTGAAAACACTATTAAAGTAGTCCTCCTATTTGTAGCTAGCTACATGAAACAAGATTGTTTTTATGTACTTCGACCAAAATAATGCCCCAACAAACTGAATATAAGTCATATATGACTTCATCTGCTTTCTCACAAGCTAGGTCATCTGCAAAAATGTAATCATCACTTTCCTCACTCTCGGAGAACATAAGTTATTTTTATAAAATGTTACTTATACAAACAGATTGAGTTTACTAATCTTTCTTTTCAATTAATAAATATATCTTAAGTTTCTACACTGCTAAGTGTTGTTAGCATGATAGAAGCAAAGGCCTGCTGGGAACAATAATTTTTAAGAGTGAAAAGAGTTCCTGAGACTACTAGAATAAACTCTTAGACTGATACCTTTAAGATACCTGAGGGGCTGGGGAGATGGCTCAGTAAAATAAGCGCTTGCTTGACAAGCTCAAGGGCCTGAGCTCAATCCCAGGTTCTGCCAAAAAAAAAAAAAAAAAAAAAAAGATACCTGAAAATGAAACTACGGTTCCTAATCAGCGACTCACAGCAACCACTGCTGAATTCCTATTACCGTGCTTACTGAAATTTTATATTGTTTCCAATGCTGTTTTTTTCTATCACTGTTTTGTATTCTTTTAAAAAAATGATAAGTAAATGACTCAGAACAAGATACTAAGAGGGTAACCTGGCTTGGTATAATTATCAAAATGTCATAAAACATTGCCTTGATATGTACTTACAAAGAGAATTCTGCTTTAATAACTTCAGTGGTGAGGTACTCAATCTTTCTTCTTGTTGAGTTTTACTTTCTTCATCACACTCCTTATCTTGTACCACAAAGTCGTCAATGATATAATCATCTCCATCTTCATCAGATTCAAAACTGTCCTCTTCCTCCTCATCTTCATCATTAATTGAGTAGGGTTCCTTTCCAAAGTCCTACTTACATGAAAATAAAGTCATCAGGAAATTTTGCCTTTAGGGGCCGGGGAGATGGCTCAGTAGAATAAGCGCTTTCCTGGCAAGTAGAAGGGCCTCTGAGTTCAATCCCCGGCTCCGAAAAAAAAAAAAAAAATTGCCTTTAAAATAGCCATTGTAGACATGCTATTAAAAGATTAAATCCAAAAGCCGAAAAAAAAAAAAAAATTCACAGAATTCAGTTCCTATTTTAAGGTTAAGACATTTTGAAAAGTTAAATGCTGAACTTCTGAAATTAGGAAGGGTAACCTTAAGTGATGTAAGATATCTAAAATGGACATCAAAAACACAACACAAAAAAGAAGACAGAAACCAACACACGCTCCGCCAGTGTTAAGAAAGAGTGAAGGAACTGAGGGCCAGGTATAACAATGTCGTACACACAGCAGTGCCACCAAACACGCTCAGGGACAACGGAACAGAAACATCTACACTTACTAAGGAAAAGAATCAATACTTTTTTAAAAAATAAGTATTAGCTTAAATATTTAGAAACAGTAACAAAATCAACAAAATGCACCACACCGCAAAACCTCCGCCTCCTTCTCCTCCACCTTCTCCTTCTCCTCCTGCATCTCCGCTTCCTCCATCTCCGCCTTCTCCTCCATCTCCGCCTTCTCCTCCTCCTCCTTCTCCTTCTCCTCCTCCTGCATCTCCGCCTCCTCCATCTCCGCCTTCTCCTCCTCCGCCGCCCCGGCCCCATCCGCCCCGGCCCGCTCTGCGTCCGGAGAGCTCTCGGAGCTTCCGCAGCCGGTCTCGCCTCCGAGCAGCCCGGGCGCGTGCAGGGTGACTCGGCCCCTCTTCCTGGGAAGCGCACTCCTCCTCGAGCACTCGAGGCGGACGCTTACGGCCCGCCTTCCTGACTAAGACGTCACTGTCCTCACTCCCGTCGCTGTCGGACATGATGGAGAAGGACCTCTTCCGTTTCCCTCGCCGGACTCGCTCTTCCTCTAGGTCTTCCTCCATCATCTGCCCAGTGTGCCTGGGGGTGCCATCATGCCCGGGAGCCCGACTCTTCTCGCGACCCACTAGGTCAGAGGCGCTGCGATCGGCTTTGTCTATTTCTTCTTCCTGTGTGGAACTGTCGCCGGCGTTACCGAGTCGCTCGTCGTCGCCTCTGCCTTCAACTCTGGCTAAGCTAAGCTCGCTTTCGCTTCCTGGCGTTTTCTCCCGGCCACGTCCCGGGTCCCAGTCACACTCTTCCTCACCGCCAGCACTGTCGCCACCAGGAGGCTCTTCATCACTAGAAAGCGTCTCCTCACTGTCAAGGTCTGCATCACTATCAAGCAACTGGGAGACATGACTTCTTTTGGTCCGCCTCCAATCCACTCGAGATTTCTGCTCAGGCGCTTGAGTTTTAGAATTTGACCTTGTTTCAGGTCTTCTAACGTGCACCATTTTCACATACGCTTCTACAAAAGAAAATTAAGAGTACACCAATAATAACCAGATTAAGCAATGAATGTATGGATGGTAAGCATTATTACTTACTTTGCTTTTTAAGTGGTTCAAAGAAGCTAAATTACATGAACTATAAGCGTAGAGATGGTAACAGTTGTTCAATGAATAATTTGTTGAATATCTACCTATAGACAGCTGCAGGTACATATGGTATGTATACATTGTGTTGAAAGGGATACACAGAAAAATGACCTGTGTCCTTCAGAAAACTATATGTAAAACTAAAACATTCACATATAGAGACCGGGCATGGTGGTACGCGCCTGTAATCCCAGCACTTGGGAGGCCGAAACAGGAGGACCACTAAGTCCTATCTGTGTAGGGAGACCCTGGAGACCCTGTACTAAACAAATATATAAGAGCAACTCAAAGCATTCATTATTTACCAAATTATAAATTTTAAAAAAGTTTTTCAGGGAAAACCAGGGCAAAACTTGCTCATTGACAATGAATGTGATGCTTAGTAAATAAATATTATTAAAAGATAGTGAGACAAAACTTCCCACTGGAAAAAAGACAAGGATGGAAAGTAGAGTGAATTATCAGGGTGACTCATCCTGTAGGCAAAGAAGGGTGCTAAACGGAGAAATGACACGAATTGTAAAGGATTAATTTTTGAGAAGGTTATAGTTATCAAATAAGAAGGAAAGGAGTATAATACTTAGAGAAACTACCTGCTAAACTTGGAACCTTTATACACTTTAGTAGAATGGAAATAACTTTAAAATACTCAAGGTTAAAGATGTAATATAGTACAATAGGAAGCTTAGAAACCAATAAAGCAGTCAGATGAAAAAGACAAAAACTTTCATGGTAAAGCAAAACATGGTATTGGGAAGAGCAAGAAAAGCTGTCAGCTTCTGATCTAGGACAGTTTAAATTCCACTAAAATTCTTACATATATACGAACAAGGAACAAGTAATGACAGGTACGATGACTTGAACGTCACTGACACACTGTACTTCTCTGGTTGCTACGGAAGAGAAGCACGAGCACAACATAATGGCAGTGACCGGAGAACGCACGCACGAGAACTCGTGTGTATAAAGAAGCCATATTACCTAGCTGATCAGTCCAACAAGCCAGAGTATAAAACAAAAACAAACTTTAAAAATAATCTTACTTTTTTTTTTTAAATTCCAAAGACTGATTTCAACATCCACTTCTTTCAGGAATAAGGAACTGCAGATCCTGGAAATAAATTTTTTGTAAGATGACTTAGAAAAATTAACTTTATTAAAGATTTTTTAAAAGTGCTTGGCATACCCTAAAGTTTATTCTTAAAGTGAAATTTTTTTGAGCAATGACAGTGTTAGTGGATTAACTTTATAGCTTCCCAAAATGATTAAATGGGAAAGCAGAAAGGATATCGATCACTGTATTTTATAAAACATAGTATATTTATAATGCAACTTGCCTGCTTACAGTTATTATACCTCATTCAAAATAAGAACAACAGGAGGGCCGGCCAAATAGCTCAGTGGATTAAAGCGCCGGCTTAGGCAGATACAGCAGCCGCGTCCGAGGCCTGGTGTGCCAGGCCGGCCCTGCCCCGGGAGCAAGCTGCGATGGTGACTGAGACTGCGTGTGCCTGGAATCCCAGCGCTTGGGAAGCTGAAAACAGGAGGATCACTACCAGTCCGACCTACGTAGTGAGAACCTGTAGGCCCTTACTAAAAAATACAAATACATAAAATAAAATCAGAACTATAGGATTTGTAAGATTATATACCAGAAATTAGCTTTATAGTGTACATTTCAGTAATCATTACTGGGCTGGCCAAATAGTCCAGCTGATTAAAGCGCCTGCAAGCAGGGGGCCTGCCAGTCAGCTCAGCTGTCTGCTCCTGCAAACGCAGTCAGGCGCAGGATACCCCTGTTCAATCCCCAGCTCCGCCTGCCTTACCAGACCTGCCTGCCTTACCAGACCTGCCATTAAGGCAGCCTGAGCCAGCCAAAAAAAAAAAAAAAAAAAAATCCTTCTCAACTTGATTAAAGCACCTGCAGGAAGATGCAGGGACCCCCCCCCCGGGGGGCACCCTGAGCCAGCAATTGAGACTGGGTGTGGTGGCCTGTGCCTGTAATCTCAGCTCTTGGGAGGCCGCAAACGGGTGGATCACTACGAGCAGGAAGAGCCTGAACACTTTATAGAACCCTCTCTAAAAGACAAAAAAAAGAATCAGTATTGTAATAGCAATCTAAAAATTATAAACTAGTCCAATATACTTGAAATTATATTGTATCTTATACAAGCCTTATTTTAAAATTAAGAGATGAAAATTATGTGTAATCAAAAGTACTCTTTAAAGATACCTAATTATTTTTGAAAATACTGTACAGTTTGTGTATACTATGTTACTTTCTACTATGCATGTTTGAATTAGCAGAAATGATACAACTTATGACAAGTACAATTACGGTTTTCAACAGATACAGTAAACAAAATTGAGCAGTAAAAAATATCAAAGTGAAAGATGACTTCCTTCCTACCCAAAAGCAGACTGAGGCCTGGACGGTCACCTCACAGCACTGTAACACGCTCAAACACAGTACTTACCATGACAGATGACCCCGAAGATAACGACAGCAAGAAGAACATCCCACTATCCAACAGCCCCACGGCCACAGAAGCACAAAATGAATCCCTGAGCTTTCCCCAGTGCAGTCTCACGTGTATCTTTAAGCCCTGAAAATGATCGTATGACAAGGCGCTCTCTCCCTCGACTCAGGAACATCAAAGGCAAGCGGGGAAGCGCAAGCGGCTCGCTGGAGCACACACAGCTGGCCAGCGACCCGGCGAAGATCAGAGGCCGGACTCCACGTCTAGGGTGCTCCAGTGGCCGCTGCCAACACCCTATCCATGCAGGTAGTAAACATTAAGCCCTTAAGCCTTATTTTATGTCTCATTCATGTGAATTGTAGTTTCAAAAATTTGCCATCCAAATTGTTTAACGTAGAATTGCTAAACAGGTTTTTTATTTGCTGTGTACTTAGGACAGGGTGTGCAGGGCCTCACTGTGTAAACTGGGCTCATAGTGATCCTCCTGTTTGCAGCCACCCAAGTGCTGGGAGTGCAGGCACACGCCACCACGCCCAAGACTCTCAGTCACCCTCTCAGGGCACCTCAGGGGTGGGGCCCGCATGGCTGGCCAGGGACCGAACCCCTGGCCCTTGCGTCTGCCTAAGCAGGCACTGTAATCCGCTGAACTATTTGGCCAGCCCCGCTAAACATGCTTTTTAAACTGAACGTTAGGGCACGTAAGTTAGGCCACAAACTTCTGAAAATTAGCAACTACACAAGAAGGCAATGTGTAAAAGCAATAAAAGTGTGCAGACTTCCCCATCTTATTGATGACACTGATTGATCACAACATTTAAGGTAGTCCTCAATGAGCCCAAAAATAAAGGCAGTATTGAGAAAAACATATACTCTGAAAAACTATATAATTTGCATGCTTGACAACACGCAAATTGCACTCAAATATATCAATTTCACTTAGCCAACTGGCAAATTGTCTCACATGTCAAAATTACAATCTAAACCAAACTGCATATATTGCAGGTTAATAATAAGCTTCTATTCTGGAGGGTTAACAACCTAAGTTAGCAGATCAAAATTGGAGAAAAGGAAGGGCTGCAAGGTCAGCCAACATTCTGGCCCTGGCCTTTCAAGGTCAGAGAAGACTCAGGACATAGGAGAACCTGTACTGTAACAACATGCAACTCAGTTGTGCTCCAAATTTTCTGATCAAGGAGATTATGGAGCCACAAAGGAGTGTGATCGATGATCTAAAGTGATCCTGGGGAGAGTCACATGGAGAGAAAAAACATTTTCTCAAGCTTTCACAGAGAGCAAATTGGTCAAGC